CGGTGTTTGCCATCGGGATTGGGTTTTCGTCGCTTGGCAATGACGTTGTACAACAAGCCAATTCACTTCGTGAGCTCGGCAACCATGTTATGTTTTTTGTTTTACCTCTGTTTTTTTTTTGGCGGTAACCAAAATGGTGGTCGAGTAGATCATGTTGTGCGGGGTGGAGAACCCTCACTCCGCTCAAGGGGGATGATGGCACCACGTTGTGATAAAATGGTCAAGCACCCTCGAGGCAGTTACACAGTGCTTACAACTGTCTCTGGAAGTGAAAGCACCAGAAAATAAATTAAGTCATACGCAGCTGTCATCCGTACGCAAGGAAGTAAGCACAAGATGCCGAACACCCTTAGCAGGATGCAGCGCACCCTTCATGCGACTCGCCGAATATCTCACGGCGCTTCGCGCTTGGTGATGTGAGAGCCTGGTCCGGTGAGAACCCGGCGTGCTCCGTCCCGGCTTTGTAGGGATGCGAGGTCAATGGTCTAACGACTACGGCATGCACGACTATGAGTACAACCCCCCCTTGTGGTAACCATAACGACGGTCGAGGTTAGGCCATAGTGTGCGGGTTTTTTGTGCACCAACTCAATCCATACATGGGGATGATCGTATCACGTAGTGACACCCAGGACGTAGTGCAACCCGTGGCTGCTGAGATGAACGTTCGTGCGGTTTTGGGCGCCAACACTCCTAGCAGCATGCCGCTCGCCCCGTTGTACATCTCGCCTGGCGTACCCCCCGGCGTCCGCCTCACGGGGTTTATTGGGATGCGAGTTCTATGGTCTGGTGACCACGGGCATGCGTGGCAATTGAGTTCGCGTTTGTTTTCCGGTGCGTTTGCCACCCCGTCCCATATCCGCGGCTTGCCCCCCCCCCCTCTTCTATCGCTTGGTACCGACGTGACCGCTAGGCTCCCACTTACCTGCATCGATATCGGCTGCGGAGCAGGGAGGGATGCCGTCTGGTTGGCCAAGAGGGGCTGGCGGGTAAGTAGTTGTTTTCAAGGGTGTGTTCGGGAAGGTACTACCGAAGCATACTGGCGGTAAATACCGCCGGTATTTACCATACCGAGCGTCTCGGTATATATCGGTACTTCTTCTTAACCTTACCGAAATTCTCGGTGTACTTCGGTACTTTTTCAGTACCTTACCGAGATTCTCGGTACGCTTCGGTAATTTTCAAAACCTTACCGAAACTGTCGGTATACCCTCAACGATCACCGAGGGTACCGGTACATGCTTCGGTATTATGTCAATACCTTGCCGAAAACCTCGGTATACTTCGGTACTTTTTCAATACCTAATCGAAACTCTCGGTATACCCTTGACAAATACCGAGGGTACCGGTACTGCTTCGGTATTAGTCTATGTCAATACCTTACCGAGATTCTCGGTAAACTTCGGTACTTTTTGAATACCTTACCGAAATTCTCGGTATACTTCGGTACTTTTTCAATACCTTACCGAAATTCTCGGTACGCTTCGGTACTTTTTCAATACCTTTACCGAACGTATCAGTACCTTACCGAGCACACGCTTGTTTGCTTGCTGTCTTTCTTTTCTTTCATGAACCGATGGGTGGTGCGGTGGTGGCAATTCCGGCCGTAGATTGGATGGTGGCATGTGTTTGGGGGGGGGGGGGGGGGGGGCCCG